TAAAAAAAATAGCGACTAAATAAGTATGCTAGCAAGCATGTTAAAACAACCTTCACTAGCACTTGAAGGGAGTTCGAGTGGTGAACTACTCACAACTCTCTTGTTGATCGGAATCTGAATTTTGGTCTTCTTGATCTGAAATGGTTAATGAAATGGTGAGGTACACTAACCCAGTAAGAATATAATACTAATCACGTATACGAAAAACTAAATATTAGTAAAAATCACAAAATAACTAATGAACCCCTTAAGTTGAGTAAATTTATTTAATATAAAGAAAACTATTTATTTTGTATTTACCGTAACGAGTTTTTCAAAAACAACCTATGAATACCTATATTAATACCACTTTTTATTTTCACGCATAAGAGAACAAGAGACGATAACTTTCATTTCTTACCTGCTTACTGGTACCCATGGGGATCCATAAAAATGTTCTCCTACTCGTAAACTCTATATTCAATTTAAATAATTAATCGACCGTTCCCACACCCCGCCTGGTAATGGACGTCAAACATTCTATCGTCTTGATATTCCGTCTGATATGAGGGTGAACCATATCTCCCAAACCTTTATGGTAATAGACTTTTCAACCCCGTTTGACTGAGGTAACGTTTATGGTAAAGTTCCTTATGTACCGGGCCCATCCGTCTTTTTCCTGGGAACCAAGTAAGTATTTCACATAAAGATTCCCATCAACAAAACAATCAATCACGCATACCAATATCTCATATTACATTTACATATCAATTAAATTACACTTATACTGATAGTATATAATCGAATAAACCAGATAAATTGATAAGACTATAAAAGATATAAACTAAGAACATGCATCATATAATAACAAGCAATTTAGAGTAGTACAAAAAAATAAACAGAAAATCGGGACAATCGTGAACTAACCGGTTTCAGCTCCACTAGTGACTTGTAATTATTTTTAGGGTTCCATAATTTTTCATAAAAATACGAAATTATGCATCGTTGAACCTCAATTTACCGTAATGGATAATAGGGTGAGGGATCCTTACCTAGATTGGTGTTTCAAGATGTCGCGCTGTCTATTACGTCTCCTAACGGGTACCGAGTTTCCTAAATTTTTCATGTAAAAATTTAAAACACTCATCATATATCTAAAAATACCCCCAAAATTCAAAATCAATGTCCACAACTCTTTCCGACCAATTTTTGGGTTTCAGCATGGCAGCACCGTCGTACTCCAGCACTGGCTCTGCTGCCCCCGGCGGCGGTTTTGCACATATCCGCGCAGAAAAACACATTAGGGGTCCTAAGTTGACTGAAAAATCACAAAAACCGAACCTACCAGCGGGGGGAACCTTTGGGTGCGGCGGCTCTGCCAGTCTTCCTTTGCGGCTGGAATTTTTTCTTTGGCTAACCTGTACAGAAATGGACGGTGAACACAATGACCGAAAATTCATGAGAAGTGGAAAGGGGCTCATAGGAGAGATTTTTTTTATTTTAACTGTGGTGGCTCCGCCGGACTTTACCCGCGGTTTCTGGCTCACTTCCCGTCCCTCTTACTCCAATTTGACCACAAGGATGCTCAACATTAAATATAATAAATTTATATTATTAAAATTAATTTAATTTATAAACTTATACAAGACAGTTAAATTTAACTTGCAATGTTATTTTCGACATTAAAATTTTAGATATTATTAAAAAATAATCTTTGATTTTACTGGCTGTATTGAACAAGAGGGTAACAAATTAACTAAATAAAATAAAAATTTATATTTCTAGTTCGTACCTTAAAAATATCTATTAAATTTAATATATTCTTTATCAAATAATAAAATATTATTTTGTTGATTTTTTTATTCTTTAAATCCTCGTCACAATCATTTCTTTATATTTTCTTTTATTCAATCCAATTACTTTTTTGAAATTCTTGTGAAATATATGAATAACTTTCATTATCAATTGAGTTATTGTAACGCCCAATAATTCTTGGATTTTATTATTATTTTTATTAATTTTATTTTCATTTATTTTATTTATTTAGTTTAATTTATAATTTTTTTTTAAAAAGCGTCACATCAGCAACCACGTCAGCGGCCCAGTCAGCATCCCTGGCCAACCAGGACCTGCCGCGTGGCAAAACCACGTCGACCCGGGAACGGGCCACGTGGGCGATCCGCGTGCGCGCGATCGGACGGCCTAGATGCGTCCCCGCGCGCACGGACGGCCCAGATCAAGCGTGCGCATGGACGACCCAGATGCAATCGCACGGACGGCCCAGATGCACGCGCACGGACGACCCAGATTTAATCAAGAACGGACGGCCCAGATTCAATCAAAATGGACGGCTGTGATCAAAAAGCAAAAGGGTATAAATAAAACCCCCACACCTGACCACAAAAACCCTAGCCGCCTGCCCTCGCCGGAGAAGACGAACCAGACGCCGGAGGAGCCGGCTGCCGCCACCCGCCGCCGCACCGGGGAGTTTTCCGATCGTCGATCGAGGTAAATTTCATACCCCCGACTCGTTTTTCCACGCTGAGTTCCCTGTGGCCAAATCGGAGCCAAAATCCCGGCCAAACGGCTGGAAAACACGGCCGAAACTCAGCGGCGCCGCCGCGTCCCTCCTCGATTTTTGCCTCCGATGAGGCCCTTCCCGGCCTCCGTTTGATGCAATTTTTATATCACCGTGATCACCATTCTTTTTTCTACAGGTTGATCGGAACCGAATCACCAAAACACGAACCTCGCCGGAGAGCCGCCGCACCCGAGAGCACCGCCGCCGGTAAGCTTCGATTTTTCGTAATTTTTTGGCCCCCCGAGGGCCCTAGGGTTGTTTTATCGTAGGGACCGATGCAAGTGTGGCCGAATTCGGCCGGAAACGGCCGAAAACAGCCAAGTCGAGGCGAATCGCCGCCGTGCC